ATTTCGGAATGGGTTCACTTACACAGAAAGCTTGATCTTTCCAAAATTACTTACTTAGTATTTGTTCATGTATGATCGAGAAACTTTTCATTTTGCTATTATCATGTAATATTTTCTTATTTTTATTAATCTATTTATAAATCACAAACTTTTTAGTTTATCAAAGTTTTATTTATTTTATGTTATCTGAGAAATAACATGAGTCATTTTTTTTTGTTTCTGAGAAATAATTAGTGACCCTCCTATCTTTTTACCTGCAACTGTTTGTGTGGTCTTTTATACTAATTCATGTAGTGAGTAATATATTGTTTATTACTTAATTGTAGATTAGTGGGATAATTCCTTGTTGATTGACAGTTAAATCTTGAATCATTATGAAATATTTAAGACTAAATTTGAGATTTTATTATATATAATGTATTTGACTGACAGTATAAATTTAATCTCTGAAAACGAGAATGAAACACTTTTTATGCCATCCTTATTGGAAATGTTATAGAAAAATATTTGATGAAAATAAAAAAAAATAAAACTGAAAGCTTAAACATATCTATGATATTGTCCTTAATCAGATATTTCCTCAAAATTCAATAAGTTTTTCTAAATATTATTTTAGGAGCACACAAATCAAAAGAAAAATTAGGACAAAACTCAACACTATTAAATCCAAAAAATGGTGTTATCACCTGCCACAACAAATAAATATAAAACATATTAGTATTTTTTATATTGATAACATATATAACTTAAATTTCATCAAAAACGTGCATGCATATTGGTTGGTTCTAGTAATGAAGTCGTGTCACTACATCTTCAAGGCTCACTTTTTAAACTTATCAAGCCTTACATGTCTAACTTAAAAAATAATTAAGACTCCCACCCTAGAGCTACTTGAATAGCAAACGACATATGTTTTGATTTTGATTCTAGCTGATCCATCGACATGTCCATTTTCACGTTCCCATGATTCTAAGAGGACACCCCCACCTCACCCATATTTCAAGAAAGGTTTGACAATGAAAATAATTAGTTCAAGTAGTACTACTAGGAACAATGAATAAATTGTTGAGTTGAAGAAGTTGTAGTATGAAAATGTTATGTTATTGTTGTGATAGGTGTTGTGAGTGTGACTTTTTCCAAAGGGTTGTAACCTTTTCGGTAAGACACTAAAATATAATAAGAATTTTTTCTCACTACTATTTGTTTTTTAGAAATTGAGAGGTTTCCTCTCATTTTAAGAGAACCAATTTTCTATATTACTACTATTAAATCTAGTATTCTAGTAGGTATTGGCCATCTGATAGCATATTACGATATGGAATCGTGAGATGGGATCAACATTTGGACTTGTGATACTATATTACGATACGAAATCATGAGATGATATCAACGTTTGGACATACAATTTTACGCTGATTCTATATCATGATGAGATGTAATTACAAATTATTAGTTTATATATATAGATAGATAGAGAGACAGATAGAATAATATAATACTGACTTATTGTATAGTCGGAATAATATGTATACATTTTAATGTCTATTAGTATGTATATAACCCGTTTATTTGAGATACATATGTTAGTCTACCTATAATATATGTCATATATTTCAAAGTTAAAATTGATGTTCATTATCTTATTTAATCCATGGAGATGTCTATGATAACTTTTATTTGAGTATTGTATTTTTAAATTGAATACTGTAGTGTTAAATTATATAATCTACTTCATTTAATATTTTACTTTTGAATAAAATTCTATAATTTTTATAATATGAGTTGGATACTGTATTCTTTATTAAATATTGTAGTTTCAATATTAAGCATTACATTTTAAATTAAATATTATGATTTTAAATATGGAAGATGGATATTAAAGGAAAATAATATAGTGGTACTTTTTGTTGGATACTACTAATTTGGATAGATTATAAAAATTTCTCTTTTTGGTAGGATATTTATATTTTTTTCCATAAACAAATAATATTGGCCTATAAATAAGGCCACTAAACAATCAAATCCTATCAATACATAAGAAAATTTAAAAAAAATATTGTGATATTCAAATCAAAGCTCTAAAGATGGTAAATCGCCAATAAAAAAAGAAATTAAAATTTTCCAATCAAACTCCTAAAGGTATATGATTATTTATGTTGTGTGTGTTTTAATCTTCTTTAATAATAATCATGATCGAGCTAATCTTTTTTAATTTTAAATGCATGACAAATAGTTTTGGAGCCTTCAAAGAAAGCAAATCCACATAGATTTAGGACACATAGAGGACCCTTTACATTATTGCCTCTAGGTGATTTTTTGAATGAGTTCACTTACATAGAAAGTTTGATCTCTCCAAGATTACTTACTTAATATTTATTCATATATGATCGAGACACTATCATTTTTTTGTTATCATCATGTTTCATTTTCTTATTTTTATTAGTTTATTTTGTCAATCACAAACTTTTTAGTTTCAAATTTTTTTTTAGCAATGTTTTGTTTATTTTATGTTATATGAGAATTAACATGAGTTATTTCTTTATTTTTGAGAAATAATTAGTAATAATCGCCATCTCCACCCTCCTATCTATTTACCTGATATTGTTTATGTAGTCTTTTATACTAATTCAAGTAGTGAGTAATATATTGTTTATTACTTAGTTGTAGATTAGTGGAATAATTCCTAATCAATTGACAATTAAATCTTGAATCATTTTGGTACGGTGGAATATTCAAGATTAAATTTGAGATAATATTATATATAATATAATTGACTTACCGTATAAATTTAATCTAAAAAAAGAGAATGGAAATGTTAGAGAAAAATATTTGATCTTGAAAATTATAGAAAAATTTTGAAAGCTTAAAACATATCACATTATTGTCCTTAATGAGATATTCCCTTAAAATTCAATAAGTTTTTCTAAATACTAAATTAGGAGCACAAAAATCAAGAAAGACTTTTATGAATAAAAATAACACTAGGGGCGTACATGACCGAGTTGGTTTGCGTTTTTTAAATATTAAATCAAACTATTTCCGTGGGATTTTTGAATTTATAAACCAAATCAAACCAATAAAACTTAGGTTTTTCAACTTCGAGTTTCTTCGGGTTTTTTCGGATTTTCAAGTTTTTCGATAAAGTATTTATACAAACATATAATTTACTTGTACATCAAATATTTTTTTAGTCCTACCAAAATGCAACTATCTAAGTTATTTCTCAAGAAAATAACAAAAAATATGATATGATTAATGACACTAAAATATGCAACAAAAAATTAATAATAAAATCGCGTAAAAAATATTGCAAAATAATAAGTCATAATTAAAATGATCATAATTTAAAGAACTAAATCATGCTAAAATAAGTTTAGCAAGTATTAATTACATGACTAAATATTAAAAGAAAGTAAAATTAAATCATGTATTTTAATTGTCTAAATATATGCAAAACTAAAAAACATATATTCACTACTATTATTGTCATTCTTAGTGTTGGATTGATTTTATTTTTCCATTAATATTAATTTAATTTTTATTTAAACTTTACTATAATTACCGACATGTATGAACTATAATCTTTATTAGATCATTAAGAATTCTAACTTTCAAACATGAAATAAATATATTTAAGGGATAATGCACAAGTACCCCCTCAACATATGCCCGAAATCTCAGAGACACACTTATACTATACCAAGGTCCTATTACCCCCCTTAACTTATTTTATTAATAATTTTCTACCCCTTTTCGGCCTAAGTGGCACTATCTTGTGGGTCCAGCGCTGGTTGACTTTTCTTTTTAAAATTAGTGCCATGTAGGTCGAAAAGAGATAGAAAATTATTAATAAAATAAGTTCAGGGGGTAATAGGACCTTAGAATAGTATAAGTGTGTCTCTGAGATTTCGGGCATAGGTTGAGGGGGGTACTTGTGCATTTTCCCTATATTTAAAGATAAAAATTATGAAAAAGTATAAGCGATACAAAATTATATCAAAATAGGTATTTTTACGTATAAAATAAAATTTTAAAATTATATATATAATGTCGAGTTGGTTTGGTCTCGAGTTGGTTTTTTTAAGTTGAAACCAAACAACCCAAATATAGTCGAGTTTTTTCCAACATCAAACCAAGTCAAACCAAATTACTAGTCGAATTTTTTTAATTTGACTCAATTTGCCGTTTGATTTGATTTTCGATTCGATTTTATACGTCCCTAATCAACACACTATATAAGAGAAAAGAATTTCACTTCTACAAACCAAAGTGGGCTCATGAATGGATCGAAAACTAAATCTATAGTCCAAAAAAATGGTTTTATCATCTGCTATAACAAATAAACATACACTGTATAAGAATTTTTTTATTGATAATGTATATAACTTAAATTCCATTCTCTCCATTAAGAATTTTTGATCAAATTAAGCCATTATATAAAATAATGTATCAAAATAATACATTTTAATTTTTTTTTTACAAAACTAGTATAGACGTATTCCACAATAACTATTTAATGTATATTTCATTTTTTAAAAACTAACAGTATTAGGTTAATATACGTTACTGTAAGTAATGTTTCACTCCTAAAACGTTATTTTGAGTAACGTTTTACTCCTAAAACGTTACTCATAGTAACGTCTTAGGAGTAAAGTGTTACTGTGAGTAACGTTTTAGGAGTAAAACGTTACTATGAATAACGTATATCAATCTAAGGTCGTTAGCTTTTAAAAAATAAAATATACCTTAAAATATTACTGTGAAATACGTTTATACTGGTTTTATAATTGGTTTGGTCAATACCTCCTCCATTAAAAACATGCATGCATGACCACATAGAATATATGTTCTTCCAACTTGCCCTTTATATGTGGAACAAAATAGTAGTAGTAGGATCTTTTTTTTTCAAAGCATCTAAATAAAGCTCACAAATCTTTTGAAAGGTTCTTTTCTTTATTCATTTATTTATAACTATAAATAGACTCAGCATGCCCACCCCTATTTTCAAGCATCCTAGCCTATATATCTATCTTTGAGCTTGTGAAATAAAAACCCTTTTATTTCTCTATCTCTCTTTTTGGCTAGTTGCTTCATCTAATTTTTGTCAAAAAGAAAAAAAGAAATATGGACAAGGTACAAAGAATGGCTAGAGATCATGGAGTGGTGATTTTTAGCAAGAGTACATGTTGTTTGAGTTATGCAGTGAGTGTATTATTTAAAGATCTTGGTGTAGTTCCATATGTTTGTCAAATTGATCATGAGCCTGATGGAAAAGAAATGGAAAAGGCCCTAATAAGGATGGGTGTCAATAGTTCATTCTTGTTTCCTGCTGTTTTTATTGGGGGGTCATTGCTTGGTTCTACTAATGAAGTCATGTCACTTCATCTCCAAGGCTCACTTAATCAACTTATCCAGCCTTACATATCTATTTTAAAAAGTAATTAAGACCCTCCGCTCGCGGAAGCTACTTGAATAGCAGGCGACACATGTACTGGTTCTAGTTCTGATTGATCTACCGATGCGTCCATTTCAGTAGATTTTTCCTATGATTCCAAAAGAACACCCCCACCTCACCCCTATTTTAAGTGAAGTTTGATATTAATATTAATTAGTACTAGTAGTACTACTAGGAACAAATAAATAATTTGTTTGAGTTGAAGAAGTTATATTATGAAAATGTTGTGAAGATGTGTGTGCCCTAGTTCAAATTAAAGAATGTATTCTCATTTGTTTCTCATTTAATTGAAGTTACTATTATTACTTTAGTTTGTTTTATTTTTCCTTCTATGGAGAATCAACATGTGTGGAGAATTATTCAATTTAATATATATATAGTGTGGAAACATGAAACAAAATATTGATGTTTAGATGTGATGGTTACATTATTCAGTATAGTATTAAAGTAGAGTAAGAGATATTCTTAGGTCAAATCTCATTGTCCACCAAAATGAATGGCCATGGACAAACTTGGCCAAGAAGTCCACTAATGTATTCTCTTGTCTAAGGAGGAGGATATGGGGTGTTTCTTGGGGAGAAAAATATTTTTTCGATTTTGTAATGTTAATTTCGTCAAGAGTTTTAGAAAATATTTTTTTGAAAATTAAATAAGTTTGTTTTAAAAAGGAAAAACATTTTCGTAATGGAAGTACGAAAACAAAGTTCTACAAGTGAATATTATACATTGATTGTGTCTTCTCGGCCCTCCAACATACCTCATGTTCACCTCCAGTACTACTCTCGAAACCCACTCACCCCATCCTCCACCCAACCCCCACCTCTCATAGTAATTATCTAGATTATACACATATAATGTGGTACTATTTTATTTTATTTTGCATACATATCAAACACACACACAAAAAAAAAGATTAATAAGATACCCACTTATTTTTCTAGAAAATATTTTAAATAAAAATATTTTTCTCGTACTAAAATATTTGTGATGTGTAAGTCACAAGTTCATCTAATCGAGTAACTTTGGCCAAATTTAATCTAAAAAAACTTAAGCTTCAAATTTCCCTCCCTTTATTTTCCATTCACAATACATATTTATATTTAAAGCTTAATTTTCAAAGACTCAAAACCTAAAAAAGAAAAAAATAGTCCACCAATCAAAATTTCAATTGGCATTAATTTTGAGAACTTATTCCAAAATTTTGCACTACCATGTAGTATAGATACTCTTCACATATTAGAAATTAAAGGAGTCAAAAAATACTATACTCTTCATGATATATTACATTCTTGCTCCATTTGCTTAAAGTTGGGAAAGGAAAATAAAATTCTCCACTTTTTGACAAGTTGCTCTCATAACTATACCGTCAAAGTAATTTGTTTTTTCCACCAACGTAGCAAAAATAAACAAGGGGAATTTAAAAATTAAAAATAAAAAGAAATTGTCATATGTGCAAAAGAATCTAAGCATCCAATTAAAGATGTTGATGGAAAAATCAAAGTTTTTATCACGGATGACAATGAAGCGGTGTGGAGTGGATTGAGCTTATTTCACAAAATTTTTAATCTGCTTCGCTCTATCTCACATAACATTTTTTCATTCTCAATTCATCCCTTATCTCACCCTATCTTGCCCCGCTTAATTTTTTTATTTTATTATTTAGAGGTCAATTGAGAAACATGAATTGAATTATTTTTTATCAAACCATTTTCATTTACTATTTTGAATATTTTAATAACTTTAAAGAAATTATCGTAAGAAATAATACTCTATCACTCTTATAACATGTAAAAAATTAAAATTAAGTTTAAACACACATAAAATCATATATACTGGCCGCCTCGCCCCTCGTTAGTTTTATAAAAAGCCCACTTCAACGCGTACCGAATCCACCCACCCCCACAACCTTAAATCCATCCGCATAGCCCTAAACTCGCCCCGCCCGCATAGCCTTAAACCCACCCCCAGCCAACATCTGCCCGCCACATTGCCATCCCTATACACCGTGAATCAATGAAAATTTGTATTATAAAACATGATATTTCCATTCTATTACCATTGAATCAGTTTACCGAAAAGAAAAAAAAACATACGATGAAAAACAAATTCTCACTAATATACTGAAAATAGCTATCGAATATTTTTTCTTTTTTCATCGATACAATCAATATATCTATAGGAATAATCCACGGATATTTTTCTTAATAGAAAAATAGTGATTTTTTAAGTAAGGTAAGGCGATGGTAGAGTAATCCAAAACCATTTAAACGACTTCACATAAAGTTATGTTATTTAATGTTAGGAATTAGGTTCTTCAACAAATAATCAAGAAGTAAATTCAGTATAGTCACATGTGCAATCAAGTGCAATTTTACTCCTAAAAAACCAGCAATGAATTATGATCAATTTTATCAATAAAGTAATATATCGTTGTATATTACACACATATTTTCAAGAGTATCAAAGATATACATGTTATACATGTGATACACAAATATATGTGATATATATGTGTATGTATAATGACGAGTTTAACTCAAGCACTAATGTGTTATAGTGGTTTGATTTAGTGGTACCACTACATGGTTGTGGAATTGTGAAGAAGAAACTAACTATTTTTTTCACTTGTCTATAATGTGTGTGTGTGTGTATATGACATACTTGGGCCAAAATTGATGGCAACAATTTTGTTGGCTCACATGAAGTGTAATTTTCCCTCGAATTCTTGAATTAATAAGATATAATGACTATAGATTGATATTATGTAGGTGTTTGGACGTAAGAATCGTAAAAATTTGGAGGGGAGGGGGTGGAGTTTAAAAATTGGAGTTCTTTAATTGGATATTAATATAAATTGGAGTTATTTTTGAATTTTTGTGAGTGGTTTAGTGTGAAAATTAGTTTTATGGAATTTGAATTGTAACAATTCTATGTTTAAACAATTTTCCCCAATAATATTATGAGAAACGATAAAACTATCCACGGCCAAATAATTGTTAAAGGAATTAAAATACATATATTTATTAGTGAAATTTAATAATTTAGACCATTAGCCTATTTTAATTATCTTGTGATGATAAATTTCTAGGTCACGAGTAATCCACTTATTATACTATTCCCCGTTTAATGAATCCAATAATGTAATTACCAAAAATCCACCCAATTAAAATATTAAAATACTAAATGCTTTTTGTAATATTTTTCAACTATGTGCACCTCACTTATTGTCATTATTTATATTGTAATATTTCCATTTAAGAGAGTTGTCTAGAAGTTTTATATTGTCATTTAAGAGAGTTGTCTAGAAATATATATCTCTTCATTATTTGTTATATATTTTTAAAAATTACTAATTTAAGTTTAAAGAAGAATTTGAAAATTGAAGTCGTCTTAGGTATAAAAGTATAGTTAAATTTTTGGAAGTGAATTAAATTTTTTTTAAAATTTAACAGAAATGTTGAAATATAAAGAAGTAAAATTTAGACGAAGAGATTATTGTTTACTCCCCTCAAGTATATGTGAGCCACCGTGGAGTTTAATGCTGTGTGTCGCATTTTATTTTTCTCCAATTATTAAGCCTCTAATCCGATCAATAAAGACTTGTTTGTGTCTCTTCATAATTTTTAACAACAAATTATTTAATATAATTTTAGAAGTGTGAAAGGATAGTACATATGTAGATAATCTTGGTTATGTCTATATAAATAAATTTAAAAATATTGTTTCGAATAGACCTTTAATTTAAAAAAAGAAATTATTTTTTAAAAAAAAAGGGAAAAAAAAGTGAAGATAAAATGCTAAAGGAAGTAGGACAAAGCATATTAAAAAAGAAAACAATCACTATATTAAAATAATATAATAATCGAAAAACGCAAGAACTAAATAGTTGGTAATTTCCATAAATTGCTTGTATGTTATTAAGGAATTATAACTCACTAACTCCCCAACTCACCCACCCTACTAGTGTCTATATTTTAGATTATTTTCTCTTAAGATAAAATAAAAAATATTTATGTAATAGGTGATAGTATAAAGTACAGAATTTCAATAAACTCAACAAACGGAGCAAATCAAACAAACATTTATATTTTAATTAGTTGGAAACAATGTACAATTAAGAAGAGAAATTTTTCAAACATTTTTTGTATTTCAATATATAAAATAATCTAAAGGCGAAACCTCTTAATTTATAAACAATGAGAAGGTGCCTTTTATGGTTTAATTCTAAAATTATTCTTTTACATTTCCTATTCACACCTCTTATCCGAACAATAGTAATAGAAATAAAATAACAAGCAACTCTAAGAGTATAATCCAACGACAACTAACTAATACGAAGGAAAAAGTGAAAAAAATTAATTATTTTTTAAAATAGATTTTTATTTTTATCAGTTATTTTTGACTTATCAAGAAAAGACGATAAATTTTTTTCATGTTTTACTTTTAACGTTAAATACTTATTTTTTTGAATCATTTTCTAAGACATCGTTTAATAACTGAGAGTTTGATAAAATACTTGCATCATTAATTATTTTCTTAATGAATATGTCAAGTCAAACTATGACAAGTAAAAATAAATGGAGAGAATATCAATTACCTAACTAACAATTTACCCTAATATATATCCTTCATGACCTCCTATTTAAGATCATATCCTCGATAAACTAACTGGATCATATCCTAGCTAAAAAAGAACTTTTCATTTTGTCAATATGAATGACGCATAGGATGATATATGTTGTTTGTCTTTTACTCTTTTTTATGTTGAAGTGTTCCCCAAGTATACAATAGTGAAGTCTTAGTCATAACACCAACGTTATGCATGTGTATTGTCTATTTGTGAATTGGTAATTTGTGTAGTGTTCTCTAATTAGTACATAGTGCCAAATGGTGAAGTCATAGTCCCACAAATAATAATACTCTACAACTATATTTTTCTATGAATAAAAGGTGGTGATATTTCACTTTCAAAAAGTAATGACTTCACACATTTATTCATTAGAGATATTTAATTAATTTCCTATTGAGACCAACCATCTTGACTTGCCAAACCTGTTCTTTGCACATTTGAACTTGTTGAAAATGAAACTTTAACTTTGGGCGACGTATAACGAATTGAACCATTAACATTAACAGAAACTATGATAAAGTGATAAGTATTATATATTTTATTATTAATTGGAAGTGATCTTGAGGTCACGTCTCTTCGAGTGTGAAAACGTCTTTGTCAGAAAATGCATTATTTCTCAATATAAAACTTCCCATCTTGAATTCAGACTTAGTGGGGACTCCAATGAAGATACCAAACAC